GACCAGGCAGGGATGCCCACTCTCCCCCTCAATGTTTGCTATTTTTATTGAACCACTAGCGGCAGCAATTAGGCAAACAACAGATATCATAGGGATAGAGTGTAAGAAAATAAAACATAAGATCAGTCTTTATGCAGATGATGTTTTACTCTTACTCCAGAATTCTCAATCCTCTCTCTCCCATTCAATACTGCCTGACATTTTGCAAAATAACCTAATGATGAACCTTCCGGACTGGAAAAATAAAGGAATCCTATACCTGGAACACATATATGAAGGATTGGACTTCATCCCATTTAATCGAATAGTCTCCCAATTTGGAATGGATAAGAATAGCTTTTTAGAATATCACCAAATTAAATCTGTAGTCAAACAAAAATTTAATCTCAATAAAATAGAATTACAAACACCACCAAGGGTATTTGACTTCTATAATCTCAAATCCCCAAACTACTGTCTAAAGTATATAAGACACTGTCCAAAATAGACGATAAAATTGCAATCCCTATTGAAAAATGGGAGGTGGATCTATCAGTTAGCTTTGACCAGAACTTCTGGTCCCAAACTTGTTTAAAAACTTTTAAAATGATCAGACACCCCAATTTACAATTAATTCAGTACAAAATCCTACACAGAGTACACTATACAGGTCATCGGATGTTCAAGATGGGGTTTGTATCATCTGACACATGTACACACTGCACAAACAACATTCCTGACAATTACATTTATGCACTGTGGCCCTGTCCAGGGATTTTGAGGTAGAGTATGTGAGGATCTGTCAAAATGTCTGAAATGTCATATCCCAACTTCTCCCTCTCTTTGTTTACTGGGAAACCTGGACGATGTCCCGATTGAAACATCTTTGGTTCACGTGGTTCTGACTGCCATATGCATCGCTAAGAAAACTATCCTCTTCAATTGGAAAAACAGAGAAACTCTCTGCATGAACCAGTATAGAAATCTTTTGTTAGATCATATTACGCTTGATTTAGCCTCGGCTTCCACTTCAAATAAATCTCTCTGGATTCCTTTGATCGGTTCCATCACATAGCGATGATGGGGACCATTGATATTGTCCTGTGGGATGGTGTGTGTGTGTGTGTGTGTGTGTGTGTGTGTGGGGGGGGGGGGGGGGGGGGGGGGTCTGAGTTTGGAGTATCCGGATGTTCCCTGGAGGTGGGTTCACTGGGGGGTGTATGGGACTGGGGGGCCGTTGCCCCCCTCTGGTGGTGCTTGGGTTGCCTCGGGGGGTGGACTACTGGTGGTTGTGAGGGGGGCCCCTTGGAGGTCTTGGCAGCGGCTATGGGTCACTGCCTGGCAGCTGCATTGCCCCTGGGCGGGTTTGGGTGGGGGCCTGGGGGCTCGGGGTGGCCGGCCCCGTGTGGGGATCTGGGCGGGGCCTTGGGGGTCGGGTCATGACATGTATGCTGCTGGGAAGAAGGCAGGCACATGCAGCAGTGCCTGGCCCGCGTTCAGGGGCCTCGGGTAGACCATGGCTCCTCTGCTGTCCCATCACAGGGGAGGGTGAGGTCCAGGAGGGGGAGGACCCAACCTTACCTGGATGTCCCATGTCTTATACATTCTGGAAGTTGTGCAAATGCAGGGATGGGCATAGATATTCTGCTGGGGTGGGGCTGGGTTGGTGCCCTCGGGCTCCGTGAGGCTCTGCAATGCTGCTGCTTTAGGCCCTGGCAGGATGGGCTGGGGCCTCCATGCCATGGGTGGCAATTTGACAACAGAGGTGCCTATTGGGGCCAGTGGGGGTGCTGGCTCCCTGGAGGGCTAAGCCAAACCAGCCATTCCTCCCCATCCCCGCATATTTTTCTCCTCCTGCTCCCTCACATCATCACACAAACACGCGCATAGGACCTTGGGGGGGTGGACAAGTCAGGGAGTGCGGGTATGGACCCCATTTCCGCATGCCTCTGGCATCCTGCCCCCCAATTTTATTTGCACCTTATACACTTCCACCGAAGACATTCCACGCAAACACACACTTAGGGCCTTGGGAGTGAGCACATTCAACGGCGCTTGGCAGGGGGATTTCTCAGCCTCCTCCCGAGTGCCGGTGCCCACTTCCAATTTTAAACTGCACTTAGACACCGAGGGCTGTGGGTGCAAGTGGGGTGGTGCGGTGGCATCAGCTGGCATAGGCCAGACAATGCCCGCACTGCCCGCTCACCACAGCCATGGAATACACCTCATCAACACACAACACTATATAGGAGCAGGCGGAGGGAGACTAGGGGTCTTAGCACACCTCTGTTGTTGCTTGGCTTCCTGGGGCTGGAGGCTAGGAGGGAGATCTGGCCATCTGGTTAGGGTCTGGGGTGGTGGGTTGCTGTGCCCAGCGTTGGGCGGGGGAACCTGCTCATCAGCACCCCAGCAGAAAGGGTCAAACTCTGGTAACCGGCGATGGTTGTACCCAATGTGCAGCAGTACCGGGACCAGAGTATGTGTATCGGGAGCATGAGTGGGTGTCTGGCATGCATTTTTGTAAGTAGTTGGTTGTATGTGCATGTGTGAGCATGAGGGAGGGAGTGTGTGACTGTGTGACTGTGTTTGTGTATGACTGTATATGTCAGGTGGGGCCTTTGACTCCTCTCTTCTCCTGGGACTTCTTTTTATGATATAGATATTCGTCTCCCCTCCCCCTGCCACACCTGGTGTGGGGTGTGGTGCCTTGGTCTGCCGGAGTGTTCGTGGCTCCCGGGTCAGGGGGTTTAAGATCTTTGGCGTCTGCCTGATCAATCCCGGTGGCTGCTTGGTGGGGTCTGGGTCCCTGGGCTCTGCTGGGTCCCCGGTGGGGGTGGTCGCCCCTGGGTCCCGGGTCGCTGGGTCCCGGGCTCGGCCGGCTAGGGGGTGGGAGGCTGCGGGCGGGCCTGTAGGCGTGCCGCTGATATGTCCCGGGATTCTGCCGGCTGCTGGTTGTGGCCCCCCGGGGCGATCCTCTGTGCCTCTCGAGGGGGGCGGGGGGCTTTCTGGTTGCAGTCTCCTTGGGGTTCCTGTGTTCTGGGGCAGCTCCTGGATCTCTAGGACTTGGAGCTCCCCCTGTCTCCTACATATCTTTGGGGGGCGGATCTGTGGTCCCTCACACTCTATTGGACGCTCCTATAGAGTAACCTTACATAAACAAGCGCGTGTACACACACAGGTGCTCACATGGTGCTCTCAAAAGTATGGGTTTGGGCACGTTCAACGCATGTCTTAAGGCTATGTTGGGCACTTAATGCACTATGATTTATTATCGTGTGAGGTAAACAATGTTGATTTTATATTTCATCATCAGGATGACGCAGTGATAGCTTGCTCCTGATGTATTGTTGTGTGTCCCATTTTTTTCTATTCTTTCTCTTTCTGCAGGTCTAGAAGCAGACTCTAGTTAATCATTGTTTATTTTTATGAACCCCCCACCCCCTTCTCCCCACCTTTTGTCTTTTCCTTTCTCTTTCACCTCTGACTCCGTGTCTGGTCGGAATTACAAAGCATTCAAAAACAATAACAATAAAGTTTTAAGTATCGGGCGTGACATTAAAAGCAGACGCTTTGATGCTCCACCTGATAGTAAATCTGTAAGGCTTCTTACTAGCATTCAGACATCAATTCTGTTTGCTTCACAGCCAGACAGGACACGATAAAAAAAAAAAATATATATATTATCTTGGTGGATTACCGTGGCTGTGGTGTAGGCGCGGTGACCTTTACCAGCCACCGTATCATCTGTGAAGTTGCCGGCGGCACATGCGCGCTTTGTTGTTTACGACCAAAACTTTCTTGAAGCTAAAGCTGAAATAATGGCCAAAGGAGGAGACGGCAGTACTCAGGACATTTTTTCATCCCTCAAAGAAGACAAAGGGGGAAGTACGGGCATCTTTTGGATATTTGAAGAATGCCGAGGGACAGTTGATAGAAGACGGCTATCCTGTTTGCAGCACGTGCAGAAAAAGTGTCTGTGAAAGGCAGCAACGCTTCAAATCTCATGACACATCTGCGTGACCATCACCCACAACTCTACAGTCAATACAAGGCAAGCAAACGTTAGCGTTTTAGCTAAAATGCGTGATCCGAGGATTTGGGTTGAGGGAGAATGCAACGAGTCGATATATAAAGCAGCAGCAGCGCCGCTACCTGCATATAAACCGTGTCGCGGACACCCCCATGTTGAAATGACGCCATGCATTATGGGGCTCCCAGCGGCAGATAGGAGTTGGTCTCTCTCCGAGAATATTTATAAATTTATGACATTTTCCCAAATCTGCAAAGCTCACTGGAAGGACACAACCCGAGGACAATATTTTCCTGATATAGGGTTTATTACTCAAGTAAGGGTAAAAAAGTATCTGATTAGAAGGCTACTTGAGTACTGAGTATCATCTGATCTAAAAATTTTTAAATGACATCAAACAAACAAAAAATAAGAAGTTATGGGCAAATATTGGTATTTTAAAGACTAAAGGGAAAAATGTTAACAAATAAACAACATAATTACAAAATAACACATTTTAGGCAAAATTTAGACACAAACTGAGGACAATATTTCCTGACATACAGGGTTTATTTAATTGTGTGAAAATGTAGCACGTTTAAAAAAAATACCTCGGTAATACCAAAAACCGTGGTAATTTTGGTCACAATAACCGTGAGGTTAAATTTTCACACCGTGACAACCCTAGCGATATATTGTGCAGCCCTAATATATTGCCATATCGATATTTTTGATACACTGCTTTTATCGATATAATATGGCTGGGGGGGATCACGATATATTGCAATATCAGAATTTTTTTACATCCCTAGTACTTAGCTGCTCATCAGCATAGTTTAAAAAAAAAACCACACACTTTCATCCAGAGTTGGACAAGCAAAAAGGACACCTGACCTCTGAATGTGATCAAAAACAGATCCCACATAACAACTGCAGCAAATGCTAACGACACATCTCTAGAATCATATTTTGCACTAGAAGACTGAACAATTGATTTTTTTTTCTCCCTCAGGAATCTTACACCTACAAAGATCCGATTACCGAGTTTGTGGAGTGCCTGTATGTGAACTTTGACTTTGACAGTGCCCAGAAGAAACTCAGGGAGTGTGAGTCGGTGAGTAACCACTTTGTTAGTTTCACCAGTCTGATTCATTTCATGTTTTTGTGCACACCATGAGAAAACGTTGATCCTTGGTAGATGATAAGTGTGTTCTCTGAGGACATCTGATTTCAGGGTCATGTTCTGAACTTTCACACAAGACACTGAAGTAAACATGGTTTGTAGTCATGTGATCTGTCTGACCCTCGGCCAGCATTAAGGGCATATTCAGTATTAAACATTGAGAGTCAGCATTGTATCACACTGTCAAGTATAGAAAAGTCTTTGGATGCTGGATGACTCAGGCTTCAGTCAGATTTTACTATGCTCTGTAATTGACCCATCAGCCTGGCAGTTAACAGTAAAAGCTTTATAAGCAAAAGGCTCTGCAGAGGCGTGCAGACACTTGTTTCAAGGGGAGAGCCGTCATTACACCTCAGTTTAGAGATTAAATGGTATTAGGATCCCTGAAAATAGATCGTGAGTGGAATAAAAGTTTTTGTTGTTTAACTACTGTGAATAGTTTTATAACTGACTAGAAGTTTTTAGTATTTGATAAAATATATTAGCCATATTACAGCTATTTTAAATGGGGATTCTTCAGAAACCATTAGACCAAATAACAGTATTAGTTGTTTATCATTAAACTACAATTGCCTCCACTAAAATGCTAATTAAGTCTGAAATTGCAAGTTTACCATTAACTTATGGCAATGTGTGTGATAAATATGAGTTATTTCTACATTTTTAATTAATTTTTTTTATCTAGACTTCACTAGCCTGGCAAGCCAGACTAAATAAATATATTATTTAGTATTATTTTGTATATTATTGAATAAGGCGAAAACACATTCTTTTTTTCTTAAATACATCTATCTGCTCCTGATTCTAATAAAGGAAGTCCTAAAAGTCCAAAATTGATGTAAAAGTTGTTTCAAAGGAGCTGTCACCATCTTGTTCCGCTTTTTTTGCATCATCCCGCCCAGCAGACGAATTGAGGGCCCAGATTAGCTTTCAAAGCAGATAGAGCACTGTGATTGGTTCACAAAGCGGATTGAGTGCTGTGATTGGCCTACAATTGTGGACCACCAGGCTGTTGCTAAGGGCTGCAGAGGTTCCATTAGAGCGTTCCTAGACCAAACTTTGCAAAGCAAGAATTTGGTCTAGTTCACTAGACTAGGACTTCACCTCAAACTGTTTTGTTTGCCATTCAGTTTGAAACAATTTGGACGCCAAGTTAACCCAAGTGCTTTTTATATAAACATATTTGTCACTTTTATAAGAGCACATCCAGTTCAGTGTTTTCTTTATAGTTAGAGACAAGTACTTTCAGTTGGGTTAAAGCTAAAGATAACTGATCCTCCAGGCTGTGCAGGTTCTCGTCTGTTCTTTTTTCATTCTACCAGCTTTTAGAATCATTGTCAGATGTCTAAGAATAAAAAGTATACGCCTACCTATAGAGAGGCCCACAGATTGTACATAAAAGGGCTCTTTGTGCCCATTTCAGGATATGTTCAGGCTTTGTGGTCTAAATCCCAGATGATAATAATTAGGGTACTTAGCTGTTCAAGGTTTATCAAACTTAGATAAGCATTGTTGTAGCTGAAATATTTGTTGCCTGATAGCGCCAAGCAGTTTCTGATTTATTCAACCAGAACTCTGGGCAGATAGCAGCTTTTCAAGCTTATTCAAACAAAGAGCAAGTAGTTTGTTGGATACTTTGAAAACAGAGATCTGGGATGTGAAATGGCTTTAACTGGAGACTTGGAATGCAGTTAAAGCTGAGAAATGCAACCATATTACCTTTGGGACTATAGCTGGGTCACAGACAGTTGTAGTAGATGAAGCCTACTGATGGGTCATTTGCTCAAGTCTCAGCGAGTTCAAGAAGAACTTATTTTTACTGTAAAAGGAAAATTACCTGCATTTATATTGTGCCTTCTGGAGTTCTAGAAGCTCTCAAGGTGCTTTACAACACAACAATCATTTACCTGCTGGCACTTGCAGTGCCTTGAAAAAGTATCCATACTCCTTACAACCACAAACTTAAATATTATTAGTTGAGATTATCTGTGATAGACCAACAGAAAGTGGATGATATTGGTTTTTTTTTTTTTTGCCGATGTTGATATGTGCCAGACTACTACTAGCCTCAGTTTTTTCACCTCACTGCTGATTGGCTGCCAAGACCTTGGGTTGAACCAGTGCACCAATAGAAAGGGGCAGCTACACAGATCAGTTTTACAGCACAGCCAGTGCTACTTTTTTAAATATATACAATCTTTTGAAACCTTTGAAGTGCAAAATATCTCGTGCTGACCATTACTAATATACTCTAACAAAATGTTATTATCCTAAGTATTTTTCCTTACACCAACATTGATCTTGCTAACAGATGTAGCCTAGCAGACAATACCTTCATAGCTGGTGTTGTTTGGTTCAAACCAGCTCAGTGTTAACATGTGCCCAAAAGTGCCAGATGCACATGAAATATACATGTGAAACAGCGTGTGAAACTGAGTTTTTTCACATGTTTACATATCATTTTTGTGTTGTTTACTGGTTCAATTTATGGGAATTTCTCATTTGTGAAGTATGTAAATGGCCTTCTTAGGGTTCTACAACCCCCAAGGTGCTTCACAACACAATCAGTCATCAACCCATTCACACACATGATGGTAATGATGAGCTACAATGTAACCACAAAAGAAGCGAGCATGCCGAACACTGCCACCAGTGGTTCGCTGAAAGTAATTGAGGACCACTGTAAACCAATGTTAGAATTTTTTAAATGAAAATAAAAAATGTGTTGTGGAATTAATGTCTAATTGATTTGGTTCTTGAGGTGGCTCTGTATGCTTTCTTCTTAGTTAGAGCTATTGAAAAAGATGCCCCAGGTACCGGTTCATATGATCATTATAAGGCAGGGGTGTCAAAGTCAAATTCACACGGGGCCGAAAAGAAAATCTAGGAGGAAGTCGCGGGCCAAACTTTATATTTTTTGAAAAAGAGATGGCAAATTTGCACATTTTCTTTATCAACATATATGCAATTTTTAACCTTTTAATTTGGAAAAAAAACTTATTTTTGCATTAACACTGAATGTAGAATAACCAAATTACACACGAGCAAGTCAATTTTAAATAAAACTCAGTGGTATTCATTACTTGTGATATATTCAGCATTTTTAAAATCTATTCAGGATTTGTGTTTTCTTGTTGTTTATTCATTTTTCTTATTTTTTATTCTCCTTTTTTTTCTCCTGTAATAAGTGTCATCGCTGCGTCTAGCTTTCCCCACTGAGGAACAATAAAGGGATTTTCTATTCTATTCATCTATCTGCAGCCTTTCCAGTTCCTGTTTTACTGTAGGTTAAATCTTTTCTCACGGGCCAACAACAAAATAATCGGCAAAGCGGGTCAGTTTTAATATATTTTTGATATTTATCTCGTGGGCCACATAAAAATGCTCCGCCCGCTAGGGGTTGTATGAACTAGTCCACTAGTCGACTTCACGGCTCTGTAGTGACTTTTTATGCCTGTCATCAACTAGTCGCTGTCACGTGATAATGACTGACAAGATGCAGTCCTCGGAAGACAGCGGGTGATGAGCCCCTGCATGCGCGTCTGGATCGAGGCGGAGGCGACGCGCTATGCGGTACTGACACCGGCGGTAAAACGGACATTTAACCAAACTGTGACCTTTTCCCTCTTGCAATTTAACCTTCCCCTCACCCCCATCCTAATCTTAACCAGTTTGTGCATGCAAAGCTCTGATCATTGACGTGCGCTCCAGACATTGCGTCCTGAGCACCGCCAAATCAGGTGTCACCACCTCAAAAACAAATTAAACACGCGATCGTTCATGTCGGCTCATTTCCTTTCATGCTTTCTGTCTGTTATTTGTGCCTGATGCATTTCGCTGCTGCGGAGCGATGCGCATCACCTGTTGTCCTCCGGTGACGCGCCCCCAAGATTCCACTATCTCCGCTCCGCTCCGCTCCGGCATGAACTCCGCAGCAAAAACGGTCCCGTTGTAGTCGGCCGGCGAGCAGCGGCACTCCGCTGTTTTTGCGGTCGGTAGATCTTTTAGAACTGCAGTTCAAAGGTAACTCATAAGGTAAATATATATGAACGCAGGTAGTTTTTCTTTAGGATTGAGAGGAGATGCAGGAAGATAATAAACAGGCAGGACAGAAAAATAGTCAAATAAAAACATGTTCGCTTTTGTACCTGGTGGTTGCAACAAACAGACACCACTGAAGGTAATTAGAAGTGAGGAACAGAAAATCATTATTTTAATGTTTAGAGCAGCAGGAACTCCGAGAGGCTGCAGGCGCATCAGTGAGTTTGCGGCTGCTGCGCAGGGGGAGAGGGGAGAGGACTGAAGTAGGATGCAGAAACTACCGTTGTTAAGAGATGTGTTAACTTAGAAAATGTGGGCGCAATTTTAATTGTCAAAAACTCCAGCGAACCTACCGACCGACCTCCCGACCCCCCCCCCCCCCCCCCCGCGTCCGGCGTATGACGTCATCAACGACTAGTCGAAGTCGACTCGACTTTCATTACTTGACTGTCGACTTTAGAAAAAATAAAGTCGTGCAGGCCCTACCACCCGCGGGCCTTGTGTCTGACGCGTGGTATAAGGTATTGGCAAGTCAAGATGGGGATTTAGGATTGTTGCTCTTCAAGGAAGTCTTTTAGCCTTACTTTGTGTAACAAAAAGCCATCAATCTGATCTGTCCAACCTCTGTTTCTCTTTAATTAGCCAAAAAAAATGTTGGAATTTATCATTACTTGTCTTTTTTTCTGTTTAAAGAACATAAACTCACAGAGGTTTAAGAATTAAAGTTGGCTAACAGTTCATCTCATTTCAATTTTAAACTGTTTTCCTAAAGGCTTTTTGCTAATCCCACACACACACAGAAACCAGTGTTTATATCTAGATTGTGCTTTTTTTCATTGTACTATGTTTTTTTGTTGTTTTTGTGTGTGTTATAGGTTCTTGTAAATGACTTCTTCCTGGTTGCCTGCCTGGAGGACTTCATTGAAAATGCCCGGCTCTTCATCTTTGAGACTTTCTGCAGAATTCATCAGTGCATCAGTATCAGGTTAGCCACTTTAGCTAACCTAAAGGAAACTACTGTTTCAATTTGGCACGTTCATTAAGGATTAATGACTGTATGACATAAATAAATGTTGCTACTCATAGATATTGTAAGTCAGTGTTTCCCAACCCTGATCCTCAAGGCACACTGTCCTGCATGTTTTTCATGTTGCCTTTTTAAACACCAGTGTTTCCCTGCTGCCACACACCTGACTTAAATGAATGAGTGATTAACAGACATCTACAGCACTTGATGTCCTCTTGAGAAGGCAGTGTGCTGAAGCAGAGACATGGAAAACATGCGGGGCAGTGTGCCCTAAGGACCGGCGTTGGCAAACTCTGTAGTAAGTGATCAGCAAATTGGTACCCAAGAAATTCAGTTTTGTGATTAGTAGTATTTTCCTAAGTGATAATTGTTTATTTCCTAGTCCGTTCAACGCCCCACACATCTCTGGGATTAAACATTATGTGATTTAACTGCTTCCAGGTCTCCTCAGGTTGCTCTGCTTACATGACTTTAAAGAACACCTGTCCGAGGCCAATTTCTTAGACCGTTTTCTTCCAGGAAGGGGTCATGGTTTAGGTAGCTTTAGACGTTCCCAGCTGCGTCAATGAACAGAGACATTCCAGCTCGTATTTGTTAAATAATTGAAGGTCAGAAGGGTTCCTGAGGTCCTAAACGAGTACATGTTTCAAAATTCTGTTTAGTTACAGTAAAATACAGTTGACCTTGGATGCTTCCCCCAAACCAAGAAATGTATTAAATGCTAATTACAGCATTAGTGGAGAGAAAACTAAAAAAGATTCTGTTAATTGTCTGCAATTAAGAGAGATTATAGGATTTGGCTGCTTCTGTACAACAGTTCTACAGAGTATCAGAGAGAAAGACCACAATCACCCATCTGAATCTTGAGTAGTTCTCTAAAAACTCTTATGTCAGTTTCATATTTCTCTTACCTTTCATGATTGTTCAAATCACAGCTGTTTTTGGAATTTGGTACTCTGATCTTCAGGCATGCGGTGAATGTTAAACATTTCAAAGGAAGGTATGCATTTAAAATATTTTCTGCAAACACACGGGAACAAGGGAATTAATCACTTCTGTTGACGCAGATATGTTTGCATTGACTGCTATAAGGAGCTGTGGAGGTCTGTAGTCAAGGTTGAAGCATGGAACATGATCAGGGCCTGTCTAAATCTCCAGTTGCAGATTGTCTGGAATTGATTAGGAGTCCTGGTTCTTTTTGGCAGACTTGCTGCAATTGGATCCATTTTCTTGTTAAAGACCTCAAAGGTTAGTGGTAACACTGAAAGAAGGAAGTTGAACGGTGATTTTGTTTGTGTCCTGAGCTCTGTGTTTGTTGAGGTTTCTGATGCAGGAACACAAATTAGGAGCAGTTTTAGGGATTTCCGTGTTTATTTTGGTGGGTGTTGTGACGATGGACAGAGCATGTCCATTTTTGACAAGACGCCCAAAATTCCAAGTGATTAGTTTTCTTTCCAGAAGCGTGTTGCTGCACCCAAGCTTGGGTTAAAATGAATGTGATGGCTGTTTTTAATGAGGACGTTTTTACAGCTGTTGGCCATGATGGGTTCACAGATACTCAGCTCTCTTTTTGCCCACAGCGGGAAACAAAAATGTGGACCAGAAGTTGGCCTAATTCAGTAGTTTTATGCAATAAAGACTTGTGTAAAACTGTGTGATTCACCCTATTCTTGTTGTCACCTACACACATCATTGTGTCTAGACTTTCCAGTGTTGGGTGTATGTTTCTAATTTAACTTTGCTGGCTTTATTTCTGTAGTTCATAAATGCTTCAGTGGTAAGGATCTGTTTTGACTTCAAGTGCTTACTTGTCCTTTGAGATTTTGTGTAAATGCTTGAAATGTAGTTATTTGGGCTGTGCTTTCTCTCCTTCGTTAGATCGTATTGGTACACAACAGCTCACTGGTAGTTGGAAAGAGTGTATTTGGATGTATCACTGAAGATCTTTCCACTTCACAATTGAGTCATTAAAAAGACCACACCATCATTTTGGGTTTTCTTAAAGAAAAAAAAAACATAAAGGTTTTGTTCCAAACTGAAAGTGAGGCTGCTCCAAATGGCCTGTAGCCTTCCAAACACCATCATGTGTTGCTGTTTAACAGTGCATTCATTTTAGACCAACTATGTTAGGAAGGAGTGAGGGGTACTTTGTCAAAGAACCCCCCCATTCTTCTCTCTCTCCTAACCGAGTTAGACCCTAATCCTGACCCCTCGCTTCAAGTGTGAGGCTGGGATTGAACCTCACAGGAGTCCCTTAGCCTCAAGTTGAAAGCTCAGGAGCTGAACAGAATAAGGGGTCGAAATGAAAGTGATCCTTGTACCCCAGGGAACAGGATCATGGTTGTGAAAACTAAAACCAGTCATGGAGGCCTTCTGCTTGGCTCAAGGGCCAAAAGATGTCAGTAGTGTAGGTTGTTCAAGTACCACCCAATCCCTGCTTCCTCCTTCATCTTCTGCATTATTTCAAAATGTTTCTCCTCTTTTCTTTGTTTTTCTTTCACTGTCTTAATAATGCTGTTGGTGAGCTCTCACTGAGAAAATGAAGTAAATTCACTATGAGCTAATATGCAAAGGTGCTTCCTGGGAGGAAAACATTGCCAGACTTTGTTTTGTCAATCAGATTAGAGGAATTTGATTGATACAGGCCAAGCCCCTAAGCCTTTTGGGGGCACTTCACCATCCTGTATAATGCTGTGCAGAGCATGTTGACAAGGGTTAGGGGTTTCCTTAAGTCCCCAGCGAGGAAACCAAACCACGTTCTGTTTGATCCCCACATCTGACCTGGACTTGACTGACATGTGCCCCCAAGTTTCTTGAATTATCTAGAAAAACACCCAGAATTCCCCTGTGCAGCAATCACTTGATCACTGGAGCAAAATTGAAACAATAACACTTTAATCTAAACTTTGCATGATTGCTGGACAAATAAAATAGTAGACTAGATTTCAGTAGTAATACTGGAGTATTATACGTATACTACTGAGACACTTTGGATTTATACTCCTCTTGTGCTATCAGGATTCTGCACTGGTTCTGCAGAATTTAAATCATATTATTCAAATGTATAAATTGCAAAAATTGATGTCATTGTTCATTAGAAATTATTACATCCAATATAGATGGCCTAAAACTTTGTGATATCAAAAATATGTAATATTAGTGAAATGGTAAAATTCAAAGCTCTGTTGGCTTGGTACAAGCAGACCTGTCAGAAGGAGCTGCAACGATTCAGAACTGCATTGCTGTCATTATAGCAACCTGCAGACTTGATGGTGTTAAACGTTTTCTTTGGCCATCACTGACACGTGGTATCCATCACAGCCTACACATGCATCATTAGGCAGCCGATGCTTTTGTGAACCTGTCACATCCTCAATGATCCATAGGAGCAATTTTGTTGTCATGCACCATTTTGCTTAGGTTTGATGATCAGAGGTGTAATCAGCTGTCCAGAAGACCTTGAGTCAGTGTTAGGCTTGTTGGTGTGATTGGCAGATTCATCTGTCTCCTTTTCCAACCTCCAGGCTGCTCTGATGGACATGAATCTGTTTACAGATGTTTGTCTAACTCACTATCTACCTTCTCCATCATTTCACTGTGGTGGATAGATGTACACTGGCACTTGGAGACCAAACCTCACTTTCCTCACTATGTTGAGGTAATGCTTCTTGTTTGTTGTTTATGCGTTTGATGTCCTATCCAGATAATGACATAATTTCACTCTCACTTCTCATGTGGTTTTGCTGCCATTGGACCAACATCCATGGGTTAGAAAGTGGCAGTTCTTCTCTTTTTTTTTTTCTTTTGAGCCTTGAACTAAGGCAGTCATACTGTAAATCCCAAATAAGATTACTTCCCACAAAAAAAACGTTAGACTGTTAGAGTGACGGTTGCATTCTGTAATAGTGGTGGGATCTCTTTGCAGAGCCTTGGCATGAGAAGTGTTGTGGTCTGGGAAGATTCTAGCTTTCACTGAATGAGTCTCATAAAGTGTGATTAATGGACCAGGAAGTGAGAATTAGAGCAGTAAATTGTTTTTATATTGGCCTTAATAACCCCTATTACTTAGTGAAAAGCCAAACAGATTGTACCTGACAGTTTTTACCTACATTTTGTACACTACAGTTTTTTACAAGCTTATCTTGTAAGATGAAGTTGCTGTAGTAATTATGAGCTGTGCACAAAGTGGTTGAGGATATTTATTGGGCTGTTTTTATGAAACGTGGAGGGTGATGGGGGTCAGACAAGAGGATGGGGGCAGGAAACTTGGGGGAAGGGGGTATAGATGGGGTATCAAGGGGGTCTAGTTATTTTGAAAGCCACAAGGGAGGCCAGCTGCAGTGGGGAAAGCTTTGGATTAAAGAGGGCCAGCAGCCCTTTACCTCCGCTCCCTCTGCTGTGACACATCTACGTCTAGCTGTATCAAAGAGGAAGCCAGTGCCCAACCTGGCTTTCATTTGACAGGCAGCCACACGCTGGAACCGTGAGTCATGACAAGCCCTAGCAGCCAGATGGAGTGTTTGACATGAACACAAGATTCAAAAAGTAAGAAGTAACCACTTAGGCTCACAACATGAGGCAGTCCCCTCACCATTAATTGAGTAATTTAAGTAAGTCTGTAAATCAGGGTCCTATTAGTGAAGGACCATTAGACATATTCTGTGGGGTTGCTTTGTGTTTCATACTTTCTGCCTGAAGCATAACATGTGGGCCATTTCTAAATAGTTCCAAATAAAAATTGTAACTATTAATTGGTTCTCAATATTTAACGTCCATCCTAATGGATGGTTGCATATTTCTTGCATGATTCAGCACAGCTACATTCAACTGAAGTTGATGGTTGCAGAGACTTGATCTTACCCTGGGATTTGTCACAATAACAGATCAAATCTGTGATTTTCCCAAGGACTTGTGCAGCTCACAAACATATTTTTTTTAGCAGATAAACAAATACTCTTAGAGTTTTACTTTCAGGCCTTATGACAAGCCTTCTTCTTTGGACTTTACTAGACTGTGTGACTGTACTTTAAGCTAAATGCTTAACTTCCTACATTAGCAGTAACAACCTGCTGTTTTGTAGAGTTTATATTTAACATATCTAAATAATAGTTTAGCTAAATCCTATTCTGAATCAGATCCGAAAATCAACTAATTAAATATTATTAAATATTCATAAAGCTAGGATTTCAAGGAGGGAAATGATGAAACTTCATTTTGAAATGCCAACTAAACACAGCCTAACAAACACATGACTTGTGTAAAGAATGACTTGTGACTGACTAATTGAAAATGTTCAAAGCTACTGATGCCCCACCCTCCACCCCAAAACTGAAATAATCCTTCTTGACTAATCGCCCCTAACACCATTTTATTTTTAAGCCGTATCAAAGTAAATCACACAAATGTTTTGACTTGATGGGATCCACCAGAGCATCCAGCTTGTTTCTCTGCTATGGAATGACTTCTTCATTCCTGAGCTTCACTTTCACACCAGTTTGGTTGTCATACTTTTATAAGCCAACATTTAGAGCTTTGATCATTCATTCACGGATGGGGCAGAACCATCCACTAAATACATTTGTAATCATTCAAGCTTATTTTAAATATTCTTCCTCTGTTAAAAATCTTTATGTCCACAGAAGCTTTGATCAATCACCTTGACAGGTTTGTTGTACCCTTATCTCCTCCGTTTCATCAACAGCATGCTGGCAGACAAGCTGAACATGACACCTGAGGATGCTGAGAGATGGATCGTCAACCTAATCCGCAACGCCAGGCTGGATGCCAAGATAGACTCTAAACTGGTGAGACTTTGGCTTAAAAGCACAGTAGCCCGCCAACCTTACTTTAGTACTTCAGAAATGAAATTTGAAAGACATAATTTCTGAAACGTCTTCACATTCTCTTTATGAGGCTCTACAGTAAACGTGTGTTTTCACCTACACGCTATAAAAGTTGTCTCGAATCAGTGAATCGGAGCCATTCTTCCAAAATGAAATGGAATGATCTAAAAGTGCCTACAAGGGAAATAAATGAGTCATGAAACTTTAGTTCTGGTACTTGTAGAAATGTGTGTCTGCAAAAGCTAATTTGATTGGCTCATTTGAATTTTTCTGAGTGCCTTATTTAATTTGGACCTTATTTCAGGGCCATGTTGTCATGGGGAACAATGCCATATCGCCTTACCAGCAGGTGATTGAGAAAACCAAGAGTCTCTCTTTCCGCAGCCAAATGTTGGCCATGAACATTGAGAAAAAGCAGGTCTCCAGTACCAGAAATGAGGTGAGTAATACATGAAATGTACTTTGAAAGTGCACACGAACTCTCCGTACCACCCTGTTGCTGTAGGGCATCTCTAGCTCCCATCAACTGGCCCGATTGAAGGTCAACATGAACTTAGGGCAGTTCAAAGCATCTCAAATGATCAGCTCAGAGAAACACGGCTAAGGAATGCTGAACAACCATCAACAAAATCTCTCTTTACACAGAATAGGCCAGTAAGAGCCAGTTTAATAGAGCTAATGCTTTCATCCTACCGTTGCTCTTCAAAGGCCTAATGACAAGGTAGATTCCAAACAACCATAAAACAAGGCCTGAGCTCAGTGACTCAGCTCAGCATAATAAATAAGCTGGACGGTCACAACTAACATCACTCAAAGCCTGGAGTTCCCTGCACTTAAGACCTGCTGGATATGTCTGGCCTGGGGTCCAGTCATCCCCTTTAAGTCTGTTTATAGTGTGTTATATGTTGATAACCGTTTCACAGAATGTCAGGATAATGCACAACCCCTCTTGTACTATGGACTTATTGTATATTAAAACCATTTAAGTGATGGGATCATTCACCTGATGGCACCAGAACCACAATTGTTACAACAGAAAGTTGAAGGTTTTCTGTTTAACTGAACAGGGTATCTGCAGGTCCTTAAAAAGTCTTAAATTTGCTTTTCCAAATTTAAGGCCTTAAAATTCCTTAAAAATGACAAATAATCCTTAAATAGTTTCGAAAGGTCTTAAATTACCAAAGACCCAATAAATGATTCTTTTATTTCTATAAAATTTTCGTGAATTTCTAGTTAGTTCAGCATTTTTTGTGTATGATATTGGCGTAAGCGGATCCGTACACATTCGGTTGGTTGTGAAAGGGGGCTATTTTTAGATGAGCACGCTGGTGGGAGTTTGCGCCATGGGGAAGTGCAACATTAATGGTAACTGGATGGCTAATCCCACATTCACGACATGGTTAGCACCGGTTCCAGGCAATAGCTGGAAATTATAGCTTAAATTTAATTTTAAAAATAGCTTAAATTTGGTCAAAGTGGCCTTAAAAAAGGTCTTAAAAAGTCTTAAATTTGGCTCCCTTAAACTTGCAGATACCCTGCTGAAGCTTTTGAGTATCTGTTGAAGTGCACAATAATCCTTATTGTTTGAGTATCTGCAGGAGAGCTGCCACAACTTTGTCCAGTAAAAAAAAAAAAAAAAACGAAGGACCCTCATTAAAAAGTTTTAGTAATTAGACAAAAGAGACTGCAAACAACTTGCAGAGCACCCCTACCTCCTGCTGTCCTCAAGGCTACAAATCACTTACATATAGAAAACATTTACTGCCTACCATCTGGGCTGGCTGCTTTGGGTCCCTGTCAGCCACCATGCTCTCACCAGCAGAACACACACAGTTCCCGACAAAGAAAACGTCACCATCTAACTGCTTGCACATGTATGTTTCTTTTTCAGATTTCCCACAATCAACAAGAAAATGTTTGTTCTGATCTGTCCTACTTATCGGCAACTAGTCTAATTTTTTTTTCTTCTCTCCTGATTTTGCAGACACCGAGCTGGGCCGGTCAGGATGCTGGATTTTAGCTGCACAATGAAGATGGGTCATTCTTTATTCCATACTTGTCTGTCAAAGAGCTCAGTGCTGTTTTACACATGGTTCAAGTCATCACCAGTTCAATAAAAGTGACCAAGAAAACCATTTTCACCCATGACTGTCTTATTTCTGGACATTACCAACAGCGGTTGAGGTCTGAGTGGTCAGACTTTTTGTATCAGTAATACTTGATGAAGTTTTAATGTGCACATTGAGTCACTGAGTGGGACTGTTAAGACTGCTGCGTGTGATGCGGCTCGTGAGTGCACAGTAATGATGAATGGCTGTTTAGTCTGTTGGTTTTATGGTGTTTTAGTGGTTCGCTTCACCGTGGCAGGCAGCCCTGCTGAGTTGGACGTCAGGTGGAGGGGGCAAACAGAGGTGATGCACAGTTACCCATGGTCACACTCTCTGCCAGTCATCCTGTCCAATCTGAGGACTCCAGGGAGCCATAAAGAACCATTAGCTGGACGGACACAATCTTTTTAATGTCTCGTCCCATCTCTGCACCCCCCCCCCCCCCCCCCCCCTGCTTTTAACCATCTCATAACTCAGTTCTTTGACTTTACCTCCCTACTTCTCTATTGCACTTGCTCACAAACAGGTTGTTATTCTTTCACGTGCCTATAATCTTTGTTTTTACATGTACTTTATCAACTAAACAAGGATTTTATGTAAACTACACCTGCTCTGTGAAGTTTAGGCCTCAGAGTGTTTGGTATCGCCTGTGTGCTTCACCCACAGTCTCCCCAGAAGCAGTCAAAACTTTGCTCTCTCTGAAGGAAAAGCACGACAGACCAGTAATTGGTGCTTTCCTCCCTTATATTCTTTTCCACTGCGTCACAGACCTGCTGGGTTGATAAACATGAGTGCACTGTGGACAATAAAAAAGTGAAAAATAATACACCTTTTTGGTAACTTTTCCAAGTTAAGAGCACATCTCTATTCAGTAGAATTTTAAAATAGACGTGACACATCACCTGAGGGAAAAAAACAACCTTTTTTAAACTGGAACTAGAAATTACTGAAGGGTTAACTCTGCTGCTTTTTTTTTTAAAATTATTTTTAAATCAGAATCTAAATGTGTCCGTTAGGGTTTCCATAATTAGATAATTCTTAAAACTAATAATCACTCACTCAGACTCAACTTTTGCTTAAAGTGACTATATATTTTCCCTGGCGATAGGGGGCAGTATATACCAGTACTTATATACTGTGCTAGATCAGATAGCCCCTATGAGAACTAGACGCTCAAAAGTTCGGTCGGATCCTTGGATCAATGCAACTACCAGATCTGTCAGGCGAGAGTGCAGAAGAGCCGAGCGTAGATGGAAAAAGGATATGCTCCAGATTTCCTACCAAATAATGATAGATACCTGGGCTCGTTACCAGAAAGTAGTTAGAGATGCCCGTAATAAATTATTTTCAAATATTTTTACTGCATCCTTTGGCAACCAGTGTATCCTGTATCAGACCCTCAATGCTGTTCTTTCAGCCAGTGACCACCTCTCTCTTACTACCTCGGATGCTCAATGCACTCAATTTTTGAAAATTTTTCTTGGAAAAATTGTTAGCATCCGGGCTCAGATTTGTTCTCCCTGTGTCACTAGTTTTCCTGAACCCATTCTGCATCTGTCTCTTGATAACTTTGACTTACTTTCTTTGTCCTCTCTTGAGAACCTCCTGTCTGTCTTGAAGCCGTCAGGTTCTCCGGTTGACCCTGTCCCTCCACACCTCCTTAAAGAGACATATTCTGTCACTGGCCCTCTTATGCTGAGCATTATTAAAGAGCAAGTCACCCCAAAATCACATTTTTTTTGCTGATAAACTATATAAAGGAGTGTCTAATCATGCTACAGACACGTGTAGTCAATAATTTGGCAGTTCAGTGCATCTTGGTTAAAATTCAAATATTCTGCCTAAAACTGTCAGTGTTAAGCCGTCGTCAGGGAAAAATTCTGCACTGTATTTGAATTTAAATCTGCCACCGCTATTGGCTAAGAGGTATGCTATGATGTCATCTGGTATATTATGATGTCATAATGCCATTGTGAGCCTGTGTGTGTGTGTATTTGTTAGCAGCTCCGCCTTCTCGGTCTGCCAAGCAACAGCATTTGTTGCATTTTTCAAACATGAAGTGGGAGTGAAGTAAGTTTATTGTAGGGGGTAACTTGCTCTTTAACAACAGCTTATCCACTGGTGTTGTACCCCGTGCTTTTAAACATGCAGTAGTTCAACCCGTTCTGAAGAAGCCTGGCCTTGACACCTCTGTTATGAGTAATTTTCGCCCAATCTCCAAGCTTCCATTTCTATCAAAACTACTAGAGCGTGCTGTTTTTAACCAAATTATTTCTTATCTTGATGATCATGGTTTAATGGATCCCTTTCAGTCAGGCTTCTGATCTCTCCATAGCACTAAGTCAGCTCATCTTCGTGTTTTTAATGACATTTTATTAACCCTTGACTCTGGTTCTAAGGTATTGCTGGTTTTGTTGGATCTATCGGCTGCTTTCGACACGGTTGATCACGCTATTCTGCTGACTCGGCTGAACCAGCTGGCCGGCGCCTTAGATTGGTTTAGGTCCTACTTCTGTGACTGCAGCTTTAATGTTATGACGGGTAGTGCTGCTTCCCCCTCTGTAGCTTTGACTTGTGGTGTTCCTCAGGGCTCTATTCTTGGACCCCTTTTATTTAATGTATATATTTTGCCCCTGGGTGACATTTTTTAAAAACACCACATTGACTACCATTTATATGCAGACAATTGCCAATTAAATGACTCCTTACAGCCCCTTGTTGAATGCTTCAATGATGTGAAGAGCTGGCTGTCAGAAAACTTTCTTTTGCTGAACGACGCCAAGACAGAGGCCATCATTTTCAGCCCTAAGACTTCTCAAAGTCCCCAACTGACCCTTCCTTTTATCACAAGTGGGTTGAAAGCCCGTGTCACAAACTTAGGGATTGTGATGGATGCTAAACTAAAAATGGACATTCATGTCAACCAGGTAGTTAAGACCTGTTTTTACCACCTGAGGCGTCTCTCTAAAGTTAAGCCCATTTTAAAAAGGCGTCATCTCCATTCAGTTGTCCATGCATTTATTACTTCCCGTCTCGACTATTCTAATTCAGTGCTCTTTGGTATCTCCTCCTCCACTCTCGCTCGACTTCAGCTTGTGCAGAACGCAGCAGCTCGTTTCTTGACTGGCAGCAGGCAGCGAGAACTCATCACACCGGTTTTAGCAAATCTCCATTGGCTCCCCATCCATCTCCGGATAGAGTTTAAGATCCTGGTTTATGTATTTAAATCCCTCAACTAGCACCTGGCTACTTGTCTGAGCTCATTCACCCTTATGTCCCTACAAGATCCCTCCGATCAGCTGACCAGCACCTCCTACATGTCCCTAGCTCTCGCTGTAAATCCCGCGGGGAGCGCGTCTTTTCGGTTTGTTTACCGAAGCTCTGAAACCACTTGCCCCTCCTGATCACTCTCCCTCTCTTTCCCTTTATATGTCTCGTTTAAAAACTCACTTTTATTCGTTGGCTTTTAATTCAGTCTAACTTATTCTCTTTCTCCTTTTCTTTTCGAGTTGGATTACTCAATTTTAATGGTTTTAGTTTTTATTTTTGATTGTTTTTATTTTGTGTTTTTGTGCAGCACTTTGGTCGGCTCTCATGCCGTGTTTAAATGTGCTATACAAATAAACTTGGTATGGTATGGTATACCTAATCATTCCAAATGAGAGATATATTCGTGTTTGAGTAAGAACCTACCAGTCGATGGCCATTATGGTAAAAAACTAGACCCAATCCCAATACCCACACTGTGCCCTACGGTCTTCAGCGAAGTGCACTTGGAGGAAGTGTGCAATAAGACTTGGTCCACTTCGGGAGTGCACACGTGTGCAAATAAAAGCCGAATTGAGTCAGTGAGCATTGCGTCCTCGACAGCAACGCATGCCGGTCACAGTTTGTGCTACTTAAAAAAATCTTTATTAACAACTTTCAAACAATTTGTTGACAAATTTTTACATTCATTGCTGTTCACGTAGTCTTAGTCAAAAACTCATAGCATTAATAAATACCATTAATCATCTTAAAATTAGCTTCTTTAATTTGAATATACATACTTTCATTAAAGGCACTTGAGCCATTGTTCTGCCTTCTCAAAATCTCATGCAGCAATGGATTGTGAGTAACACCCATCGCCAAAGTCCCCATCAATGCGATCTTCGGCAACGTGTGGATCAAGAGTGCAAAGGGGCGTGGTCAACTTCCGCACTTGAGGATTGGGACACACTTGCACCCCTGGACTGGACTACACATTTGAGGGGCGTAACAGTGGAAGTCGAGTTTTGGGCTCCCACGTATTTTTGACTTTTATGGTTATATGTTACAAAGCCGCTGATATTTTTGAACAACTGGGCATCATTTAATTCATTCTCAACAACATTTTGATTGATATTTCCAGAGATTAACTGCAAAAACTACACATTGTCTCTTTAACCTGTGTCCAACAAACCTGCTGTTGAAAAATACTCAGTTTTCTTCAGTTAATTCGAGTTAATAGAGTTGTACGGCAGTCTGGTGATTTAAAAATAATCAGTAAAATTATAATTTTACCAAAATACACGATATTACACATTTTGTAGCTTCAAAAAGCACATTCGAACCTCCAGCAAGCAAATAAAACCATTGAAACAAATCACAACATTGAATGCTGCCATAGCAGTCATTTCAGTCCCATTGATTCAGGGCCATGTGAGGAAAAACAAAAGTGGCTGCTGGATTTTTTTTCCATGGCAGAGGAAAAAACTGGGACATTCTCCAGCCAAGAGAGGAAAACAATCCCAACTGGTAGACATGTCATTATCCAAGTCAGCCATGATGATGGGAAGACTTCACAAGAACACAGTCGGCTACCACAAGGTGCAAACCAGACATGGACTTCAAGAACAAAATGGAAAGGTTAGACATTTCAAAAGCAAGGCTGTTCTGGAATTATTTATACAACAGATAAAACCTTTGTTTATGTGATCAGGTTTTCCCTGTGATAACAAATAAAAATGGCAACCAAAAGTGTGCCAATTAAACCAATGGTGGCTCCA